ATCTGGGCTGACGACCTTGAAGCTTGGAGGTTTTCATGGCACAAAGGAAATGGCTGCAGTTAGTGAGATCGCGCTGTTCGAATCTGGAGAAGGACAACGCTCATCGACGGACATCTCCTTTCTGGGCTACGCCATGCCTCTGAAACTGTGGTGGAATTTGAAGCCGTCACGAGCCGGAGCCATGACAATTGGCGATTGTAACAATGGCTTGATTTAGTTTGTGCACGGTTTTTTCCCTGAAAGCCACTGCCGAGCTGCCAACCGTAAAGAGGATAGGGGTATGTACACGGCTCAATAAACATGGGAAAAATTCCGATCCATTGTTCGACTTTCTGGCCAGGTCTTCTTGCCACTGCTCCACTTCTGCGTCTTTTGAAAACCAGGACAGAGCAGGAGGAATCTTTCCCGAAATCTACAGCTTCTACTCGGTCTACTTGCAAACCAGCCCAGGTGAACGGGGCGCTTCATTGTTTCATGGGGAGCCCGGATAATTGAGTTTTTCTAGTAGTTTATGGGGTTGAAGTTGGTCGATTGCACCAACAGCGCTTCCTTCCACTCAGTCAACATGTTACCGTAATCGCGGTGAGGAACCCGTTACACACCTGTTCTCGACCTTGGGATTTGTGATGTAGTTCACATCGGTGGTGACGTAACGAGGTGCAACGTCGGTTTGACGGAACACATCTCCGAGACCCTGAAATGATTGAAAACGTTGGACTCTTGCATGTATTCGTCTTCAGTAAGGACCTACCTTGACAGCATCTTCGACTATTTGCACGTGTTCCGGACTCGTTGGCTTACTGTAGTCGGTTGAGTACTGTAGTGGTTCGCCGTCGTAGTCAATTACTCGGACTACTATGGGCACCTGAATGACAAGAAGTATGCGCTTCATCACACCCAGGGTTCAAAACAAAAGGGTGCGAAGCGTCAGTCGCCGCCGCGCGTGACCTCACTGTGCTGGATTATGCGGGCGATTTCATCGATTTGTCGCGCACGGTGGCCAAGGTGTAACTGAGAGAGGTGCCTACACACCCAGGATAAGGCACGGGTTACCTCGTGAAACTACAGCCGTTTTCTTCGCTGTTGCTAGGGCGTGTCAAGGGAGAGGGGATGAATTTGGCTCGGCACCAGTTTGTTCTACACCACCTGTTGAAGCGGGCAAGTGCCAACAATTGATGGAAAATGGGCTGGCGTCGCACCGAACCCAACCCCCTGACACGCCCAGCACAGCGAAAATGACTTCAGGGTACAGCAGAGGTTGTTGGGTTGGAGTTGGACACCCCATCAGTGTTGAGTAAAAAACTTTCGAAATATATAGCACAATCTCGTCGTACAGCTCACTCCAGCAAAATTTCCCATATTGGCTACCCGTCTCTACTCCAGGCAGCTCTCGAGCAGTTCTAGAAGGCTTCCAAACTCTAGATGGCTGAACTTACCGATGTAACTGCCACGCATTTGTCATTGGGGGTCGATCGAGATTCTCCTGGTCGACATCCGCATTTTGATCCACCGATGCAAACCTGGATATTAATCAAATGACCAGAAAAATTGGCAGGACGAAAGATATAATAGAAAAGGGAAAATCAAGCGAAAGCTCGAGTTTTTGGGGCGCAAGGTAGGGAGGGCACGTGGGTGTGCACTTACCCACGTCATGTCTTCTCGTTACTCTTCCTTACCGAAATGGTGTAGAATTCAGACAAACGTAATTTTCCTATGCCCAATCGATTTTTCGGGAGGAAATAAGCCGGAAAATAGCTTCAAAACTACTTCTAGCTCTATAGAGGTGATAGGACGCAGACGAGCAGACATAGAGTAGCACAGTAAACCGCCGCGCGTCTTCCTCCCACAATCACCTCAACTCCGAACTTTGTACCATTCCTTTTTTGGAATTAGGAGGGAAAGGAAAAGAGTTGAGGTCAGGGTGGTTGTAGAGAAGTCGATCTGGAGGGTCAGAAAAATGGAAAATCGGCGGCCTGGATTAAGTGGGGGAAAAAAGAGCACAATACTGAATTATAGGACTCGGGAATCGGAAGAAGGAATCTTTTCCATTCTTCGTACACGACGCACTTGACGTCATCTCTTTTCAAACTTTTCGATCTTAATTACTCAAAATTGAATAAACTGACCTCATGCAGATCGACTTTACAGAAGGTATTTCCACACGGGACCAAATTGGGCGATATCGTCGTCTTTTCGACTTGTTGTGGTTGATCGATGACGAGACCTAATTCTTAATATGTCAGCTGTTTTAACCGTTTATCAAAGAACTCTTGGTGACGGAGCAACCGTTTCCTATTGGTCTCCTGTGAATACATATTCCGTGATGAGCAGATAGGCGGGGACTCACAACCAT